CTTCGTGTCAAAAACATTGTCCGATATGTCTTCACGTGTGGATCAGCTCGAGAAACAAGACTTCAAATGAGTGGTACTTTTGTATTGTGTTGAGTCACGTTTCAAATGCAAGTACTCGTCATAAATAACGTATACTTTTTGTGTCACTTTGTCAAAGTTGTCTCATTTGCAGTTCAACTCCGTTATAGTCAACCAATCAATGCTATGCTTTGAGTACTCAATATAGTGAACAATGAGTTCATAATACCATGTGTTGATTGTGGTGTCATTTATAAAACAGTCTATTGTCGCTATAATAAACACTTGTGTTTTAATTCGTAATGTTATCGATGTATGAGAAAGTGTTGATTGTATTGAAAGGTATGTGGACGTGATTATTGGCCAATGAGTTGATACGGACTGGTGTTTGGGGCGCAGGTATCGCACCGATAGGTCTCACTCTGTGTGTGTCTGTACTTCGCTAAACACCACTACAACATCAAGTGATCGCTAAATGAATACCGCATTTGTAGTACTTTTCCACATTAAACATCAATCAAATCAATGCATTACAAGCGAAAGCGATTGCCATTGGTTTTGTACAGTGTATTGAGTGGTGACTCCGTAATCGAAAGGTACTGAAAACTAATTGATTGGTAGTGTGTTATGCGTTGACATGTATTGTGTGTTTTCATTGCATATTAATATCGTATTTATTGCCAAAAGAGTTGTGAATTTGTTTTGTAAAGTGTTTTCAATTAATTGTCGATTGAATTGTATTTAAAGCGCTTTTAATGCTTTCGTATTCATAACACTTTCACCCATTCATCCATAGGATTACCATTGATTGACATTTCACAGCAATTATTGCTAAATAATTAGTCATTTATATCGTACTCAAGGTTTGTATTCAAGAAATTGATTTTTATTTTTTTATTTTCTTATTTTTGACTTATGTTTGGATACTATTTAAAGGCTATTGTTATACATACAGTAATTTGTTTTGTTATTGTTTGTTATGTTTATTACTGTTAGTCTAATGTATTTATGAATGTAATGTTACTGTTAATGTGGATATATTTTAATTGTTATTAAAATGTATTGAAATGAAATACTTTGCATGTTTACATAATTTTTAAAATTCAGTATTCTGTATGGATTACAATTTGAAACAACCAGGGTGAACTTGCTACTTGAGCTAGTAGAATATCTGATTACAATCTATAGGTTGTTTAATTAAATTAAATTGATAGCCTTTGTGTAATTAGACTTTTATGCAATAATTAATACGTGAGTTCATTATAATTAGTGATGATTTAGGATAGTATTGAACAAAACGAGTGCACATATTGTGGCAAAACAATGTTCAACTCATGTTAATGTATGTGATCTCGTAATAGACTTGATGTGAATTTCAATGTCTATTATAATTATGTTGTTTTTATTCACTATGTATTGCCTATTATTTGATAGTTTTATGTTTCAAATGAATTAATAATAACAATATAACACATACTAAACAGTATTACAGTATAATGTTTATACGAAATGCTAACTATAGTAGGATTCCGTAATTGAATTTTAAAGCGATTGATGAATTGCTGCCAAAAATAGTTGACTTGTTTTGAAATTAATAATTTATTTGTTTTTTAGATATTGATACTAGCTTAATATAGCATAAAGCTTAAAAAGTTATTAGTTGTACTTACTCATTTACTCTAGTTTTAATGTTTAATTGTGTGTGAATTAAAATTACATTATTTTGTTATTTTACGTAAGCTATTATTTAATTAATTAATTAAATATGTAATTTAATTAAGTTTTAATTATGATTTTTAGTTAACGTTTCATTGTCTGATAGATGTTTGTTAAATGGTTTTAATAATTAATGAATTGTTATTTTATTTTGTTTTTATTTCCAGTGAAAGTCTATGATGTATGTAGGCTTAAATAAATAAATGTTTAGTGTATTAAATAATAATTTTAATAGCATAGGGAATTAAATAAATAATAAATTCTTAGTCGACAATTCTTGTTTATTTTTATTTGTCATATATTTTAATAGAGTTTTATTGTGTTGAATGAAAAATATATTTTTGGCGATCGATAGGAAACCCACACCAGAGTTGTGTGAATATGTCTTTGAATGATAAACGCAACTACTTTTTGGTTGTCTATTTGGTTGGTATTAGATATGCCATTGATTTTCACATCACTCCCGACCCCATTGAATAAATTGCATAATTTTTCTCTTTTAATTGGCGTATAATTTGTTGTTTCATACAAACGATTGTTTGGCAGTCCTTTCCATTTGTTTTAATGCATTTCAATACCTAATTACAAGTCTTTCTCTCCAATAGGCTAAAGATTTTTTTATGTTTTGGTATCTTTGAGTCAATTATTATAATGAGTTTGTGTATCACTTTTGCCTGTATATGAGTTCTCAATTAATTACACCATTAAATCCAATTAACTGTTGATGTAATTAGTTTTGTCACATCTCTTCGTGTGTCACACCTTTTAATCTCAAACTCAAACACAGATCTTATGTAAACTTCATTTCGTTATCAAATGTTGGATTCATTTTCTTTCATATGAATTGTTTGGCAATTATTAGTTGTGTTGACATTTCTTTTGATTTCTGTTTATAATAGTTACTAAAATTACTAAATTATATATTTTTCTGTTGACTGTAGTTTGAAATATAAGGCGTGAACGGAAAGGGGTTAAGGAATAGCGGACAGTCATGGATATCACACAATATAACACACGTGTAATACAGGAGCCGCGAGGCATGATTCGCGTCATAACATTGGTTTGTAATCTTATGAATGGTTTGTCTGAATGAAATGACTGATGTGTGGTGTGTGTGGACAGGTATTCGCCATCCTGGCCTTCGCCACCACTTCGGGCTTCGATACGATCACGTCGTTCACGACGTCGTGCACCAGATTTAACAAGACTTCGGGCATCACTTACTCGCCATATTTCAAGGAGAAGTTCTCGTTTTCGGTGGAATACCCGTTCAAATTCGAGGACCAGGTGTTGAAGCCGTATATGAACTGTCAGAACGAGACGGCCACCCGTGAGAAGCAGCCCTACCCCATGGACTTCTCCAGTAGCGCACAGTTCTATGTGGCGACCGGTGTCTTAAGCTTCCTGTACTCAACCGCCGCATTAGTGCTCTACATCTTCGGTAGCCATCACTACGAGACCAATCCCTTGCTGGCAGTCATTGATTTGGCGGCCACTGGCGTACTCACCATATTCTGGTTGGCGGGCGCCTCTGCCTGGGCTGCCGGCGTCAGTGATGTCCGCTATTACACGAGTCCATCGTATCTGTGGAGTCATTTGGAGTTCTGTAAGTCCGCTAACACGGCCGAGACGGCTAACCCCAGAGGCGAATGCTATGAGAGTAACCCCGGGAAGTGGACGTCACTTAATATATCACTCGTAAGTGTTTGTTTTGATAGCAGTTATGTTGAGTTTTCTAAATGATTTGCTTTTTTGAATAGATTTTTGGTTTCGCGAATATATTCTTATGGGCGGCCAGTATGTGGTTTGTGTTCAAAGAGACTCAATTCCATCGCAAACAAATGCC